AAATGCAATTTTGTTTTCTAATACTGCAAAATACCTACGTAGCTGAAAGTTGAACTTATAAAAAAGATAGGAGCAGAGAAGTCTAGCTTCCGGTCTTCCTCTGCCTCCAACGGTCATTCTCTTCCTTACCTTAAAGATAACAGTTTTTAATTAGCTTTGCTTTATTCTCCCACTGTTGTTTATATGTTTGTGTACTTGTATTCCCCCTCCCTTTCCAACGAAAAAAGGCAGCGTACCACACTTACTCCTCTGCCATGATACTTCTGGAGACCTTTCTTGCTCCTTCCCATAGCTGGAGAACACTTGTTCGGGTGCGTGCACAGCACTTCCCCAGTGATGGACATTCGAGTTGTTCCCAGCCTCTGCTATTCCAGATGGTGTTGCAATGGGTAACCTTGAGCACACGTCATTTCACAATTTTCGTAGTTATTTTTGGAGTAGGCTCCCAGAACTGTGATTGCCAGGTCAAAGGGGAAAGGCGCAAGCAAATTTGCCAGACATTGCAAAATGCTCCTCCATGGAGATGGGACCATTTTGAATGCCCGTCAGCAATGCAGGGGCGTCTGACTGTTTCCCCAGAGCCTCCTCAACAGAGTATGTTGTCAGACTGGTGGATTTTTGCCTCGAGGAAAGATAAGAAATGTTATCTCAGTATAGTTTAAACTTGCAGTGTTCTCGTTAGGAGCAATGGAGAACATATTTTCGTTTGCTTTTCTTTTTCTGGGAAATGCCTATTCGTATCTACTGTGTATTTTTCCATCAGGTTTCTGGGCTTTTTCTTTTTTGAAGTTCTGTAATTGTTAAGAATATTAGCTCTTTGTCTGCAATACAATTTGCAATTATTTCTCCCAGCTTTTTGCTTGCCTTTTGAATTTACTTAAGATGCTTCTATATTGCCATCAAGACAAAAGCATTAGTCTTTTCTCTTATTTTGAATTTTGCCTCTCCCAGGATTTCACCCCTTTTGCCTCTCATTTTTATGGTTTCATTTTTATATTTAGATCTTTGACCTATTTGGAATGATCCTGGTCTTTAGTGTGAAAAATGGATCCAATTTTAACTTTTTCCATATGGCTACCCAACTGTATCCAATTGTATGGTATGTCAATTATGTCTCAGTAAAGGTGTCATAAAAATTTATCTACCTGTGTAAAATTGTTGGAAGGATATACGCCGACACTTACACACTGGCCGACTCTGCGTGGTGGGATGCTGAGTGTTTTCCATTTTGTACTTTTTCTACTTGACCGGATATGCCTTATTTCCTCCTCCTCTATACAGCAAGACCTCCTTTCTACATTATTCACCTCAGAGAGCGGGGACATGTATTTCTGAGAGACTATGATGCAGGCCCAATAAAGAATGTGTTTAAAGAGCTTTTTCCATAATTCCCGTTCAGGCAAACAACAGATATTTGAGCACCACTGGCACATACCGGAGTGAGTGTTACGCTGTGGGAAGTTCCAAAAAGTAAGACCATCGGGGCAGGCATATCTCAAAGTCAAGTCCACTAACCTGGAGGGGAGCGGGGCCATTTAAAAAGCCAAGTGAGTGGTACAGACACGCGGGTGGGGCGTGTTGGAGAGTTCACAGGAGGGACAGATCTCCATGGGCGGGGGTGACATGGGAGGCTTCAGTGAGGAAGTGTCTCCTGTTAGTCCTTGAGCGACAGATAGGACTTAGGCTGATGGGGAGGAAACAGGGGTATGGCCACTCAAGGACGATTCTGTGAGTAGAGGTGACTGAGAGCCCCTTGGGGCATTTGGGGGACCAGGTAGACCAGGCTGGTCAAAGGGGCTGTGCCTGGGGCATCTGATACTGTTATGGTGACTGGGGAGCAAAGCTCTCTGCTCCCGAGTGAGGTGAAGCTGCCCTCAGCACCCCCGGCAGCATCCCAGGGGGTCCAGCTACACAAGGACCCCTCCCAAGGAGCTCATTTTGGGTGGTGAACTCCCTGCAGATTCTGAAGCCTGTGGGCAAAGAGTCTGTCAAGGTTTGGCTTGATGTCGCTCTTAATCGTTACATTCTTGGCTGGCACCCACGGTGCGAGGACCTCGAGTCTGCTCCAGGACACAGCCAGCCCTTCACAATGGGAACACAACAGCTCCTGGCAGGGCCTGCGGTGGGCCAGTACGGGGCTGGGGTGGGCTTCTGCTCGGAAGAACTCTGGGCCAATCTCCTTCCTCTTCCTTCAAGTACCAGAATAAGCACTGGCATTTGTGTTGGGGGTGGGGAGAGCAGGGCAGTCTCACAGCCTCATGGTGGAGTGGGCAGAGCGTGGGTCTCAAGTTGGCTGAGCCCGGGCTCTGTCATTATCTGCTGGGTGACCTCGGGCAAGTGACTTAGCTCTGAGCCTATTTCTGTTCCTTTGCCTGGTTGTAGAGGACTAAGTTGCACAGGCAAAGTGTCATGTTCATGGGTGGAATGCCACAAGATTAGTTCTGAGAAAGGAGTGACAGAGGATATCTAAAATGGAGTCACTTTAACCAAGCTGTGAGCATTTTTACCATGATGGAGGTCAAGCCATGAGGAAAGAGTCCATTCTTATTTGGACTAGCCTGGAAACTTGAACTCTTTTTAATTCTCCAGTCCTGCATCAATGCCTGGATATGCATCTGAACCTCCACGTAACCCTCTAATTACCTGCTGAAGCACTCATGCATCCAGGCCACCTGTTTATCCCCTGAAGGACTCACGGATGCATCCACTTGGCACCCATCATCCGGACCACCAGGGCGTGGTCAGCCCTCCTGGTGCCCATCATCCACCCTGACTACCAGTCCTCTGACGGGTGACTGTCCTGGACCAATCCTAGGGCTCAGAATGCAGGACAGGTAATCCTGAAGAATGTACTTTCTTCTATAACAACTTCTAACTTTCCTTTCTTCTTTGGAACACTTCTGGGTTTTTGCCTAGCTGTGTTTACAGTTTGCAAACTCTAAGATCCTTGACAAAATATCTATTTCTAGCACAGCCTCCAGACTCCGAGTTTGTTTGATATGTTCAAAAGCCTCAGCTGGTGTAGCCCCCATGCTTCTGCGCGTTGAGCCCCTTACCATATCCATCCTGATTTCCAGCATTTAATCAGTCTCCCTCTTTGAGTGCATTGCTGTGCATCGCTGTCTACTGAGCTCACCCAGAGCTGGCACAGTGGTATCATTCTTTTCCAGGCAAGGTTTCTATACCAAGGCCTGCCTTCTAGGCCGTAGGAGGCTGCCCCAGGGAGACGATGTCCCCCAGATGCAGGACTGGGGAAGATGGGGGCTCCTGTGTTTAAAATTTTGTCCTCAGTTATCTGACACCAGTATCTGTGGGAATTAATAAAGGGCAGCTCCAATTTCAGGGCACATATTTCTATCTGAGGTTGTGCTCTCTATCTTCTCCCTTCATGAACCTGTATCGATCCTCCCAGAAATAAGTGACCCAGTCTCCTTGCAAAATGACCCACAGGACAGCCTGCCCTCTGTGGGACAGGAACTGGGACAATACAAGAGGGAGAGAGGAGGCTGTCGTGAATTAACAGGACGCACACAGCTGGTCAGGAGCCAAGTCATTAGTGCTTCTGCTGATTTCCCTTTGGAGCAGCCAGGAACTGTTTTCTCTCACCTTTAGTCTGTCCTTTGCATCTCGCAGCCCCTTTGAAGGTGGCGCAGCACAACAGGTGCCCCAGTACCTACCGGTAACCTGAGTCTGGTGTCTCCCTCCCTGCTTTGTCCCTGGGCAGCCACCCGCACACCCAAGTCTTCGGACTGATCCCGCCCCTCACCTCATTTTCTCCGGTGGCTGGTTTTAGCCATGATCTTACCTACAAGAATTTCCTTGCACCTCACTATTTCAGCACCAACGTGGTAACAAACTGATTTAATTAATACTTCCAAGTTAAATGATGGAAGACCAGAGGAACTCTGGGTTCCCTGTTAAGTCCCTATATAAGTCCAGACACAGCGTCTTTGATTGTAATTCTGTGGCTGAAAATTTTTCATAAAGCAGTTGATGCCTTTGGGCCAGTGGGTCATTCAAGTGCCCTCCTATCACACTGGACACCAAAGTTATGCATAAACTGAAAACAACATTTTGAGTCGACCATCGTGCTCCTAAGCGATACATGGAGTCCTGTGCACTGGTGATGAGGACAAGGCGCTCTAATGAAGGATCGTAATGGGGATCATCTGTGGCCTATTTAGTGATATGATTTTATGCTTCCTTCCAGCCCTGCAATTAGCCATTGAGGAAGAGCATCCTTTCAATTTGACTTTTCTACGATAAGTTGTAGTTTCTTTCTCCAAAAGGTAGAGTAGTGGTTTTCAGAGTATGATCCCAGAGGCAGCCACATCAGCATCATCCTGGGACTTGTTAGAAAGATAAACCACACCTAAAACAAAAACAAACTAAGCAAACAACTAGAACAGGAACAGAACCACAGAAATGGAGATCACGTGGAGGGTTAGCAACAGAGGAGTGGGAAGAGGAGAGGGGGGAAAGGTACAGAGAATAAGCAGTGTAGACAGTAGGTAGAAAATAGACAGGGGGAGGGCAGAAATGTAGAAGCTAAAGAACTTATGATACATGAACATGAACTAAAGGGGGGGATGTGGGTGGGAGAGGCTGTGCAGGGTGGAGGGGAGTGAAGGGGGAAATGGGACAACTATAATAGCATAATCAATAAAATATATATATATTTTAAAAGGAATAAAGCCAGGATTCAAGTTCACAAGAAAGAAAGAAAATTCTCAGGCTCCACCCCAGACCTGCTGAGTTAGAAATTCTGGGATGGGACCTGGCAATCCATGCCCGGAGGTGGCCATGCACTCTCCACGTGAGACCCGGTGGTGGATAGGAAACTGTTAATCAGTTAATAGTCTATTACCTGCAGTGTGTAGCTGGAATGCTGGCCTGTCCCCTTGCAAGAGGTCTCAGAGAAAGTAAGATTCTTGTCCTCTTTGTCTTTTATCTAATCAACTTCCTTCATTTTGCCTGGAGATATGAGTCAATTGCAGAATGGGATGCCAATGGAACTCTCGGCGGGAACTTGCTTAGCACAGCTGAGGGCTGCCAGCAGAAGTTGTGCCTAGAATTAAGTCCAGCTGAGTTCAAACGGAGCCAAAGGGGAGGCTTGGACACTCGCTGCGCCCACGGGGCCTGCTGGGCCCCACCAGCCCAGGAGAGGGGTCCTGGTCTGATCCGCCTTTCCTCATTCATCAGTAGGACAGAAGGAGCTGTGCAAAAACATCTCTTAGTGGTGTGTGGTCTGGTTTTAAAGTAAGTCAGAAACAGGACTTGTCTCACATAGGACTGGTCTACGAGGATACATACAGCCTTTCTCTTGACCGAGAGATAAATTAGGCTGGACATGATTTCTACCAAAAGGAGGTATTTGGAACCATAATGGTTCCCACTGACTGCATGCTTCCTGGGATCCGTGGAGCCAGCCCAGCGGACGAAGCCTGGTAAGATACTGACTACCTCCCTCCATTTTTGGCTCATGACCCTTCAAGAGAGGCACTATCATTAGCCTATTTATAGATGGGGAAACTGAGGCCCCAAAAGGTTGAGTCAACGGCCTGTTATTAGGGGACAGAACTGGTGCTTAAACTCAGCAGCTGCAAAGGCCCATATGGTTAACCACCAAGCGGGGCTCCCTCCCATGAGTCTAATGGGCCAGGATTGTCTCTTGTCAGTTTTCATGAAATCCCACCCCTCTTAGCTTCCTGCCCCTCTCCCCTACTTAGTCTCTCCTTCCATAGTTTGTTGACAGTCTTTTCTCCATCCCAACTGAATGCTTTGTTTTCGGGGGTCTCCATGGGCTCCTCTCTTTGCCTGATCCATCCATAGTTAATCCTAAAAAATAATCAAAACCAGAAATTTGGATTAAGACTGTTTTTCATACTCTCTCCTGCTTAAAAACCATGGTTTTGGAATAATGTATATTTGCTGAGCGAAGGACCAGCTGGTGGGTCCCTGTTAGGTGTTGATGGCCTCGGGCTGAGGCGGAAGTTGGAGGTGACCCAGGGGCTGCTGGAGCCCCAGAGCAAGTGCTGTCTGTGAGTCTGGGTGGGGGGGCTACACCTCCCAGGTGGCATCTGAACCTGAGCCTGGCGTTTCAAAACTCTGCTCTCCCACTGTGATTCTGAGTCCCAGGGGCAGGGTCCAGGACGCTGGTTTTTGGGGGAGGTCTCCAGTAACACTCAAGACTTAGGCCAGTTTGGGAAATACCGACTGAAGCCACGCTCCTCTCCTTTTTATGCGCCTCCGAGCCACCCCCCTTCAGAAGCTCCCTCGGGAGACCCTGAGGCCGGGGGTCAGAGGACCAGAATTTGAGAACATGCTCTACAGCCAATGTCCTCGAACTACAGCATGCACCACGAGTCCCCCAAAGGCTCGTTAACATGGACTGTGGGCCCCCTCCCAGAGTGTCTGGCCCAGCTGCCTGGGGTGAGAGGTTGGCATATTTGCATTTCTGATAAATCTCCAGGAAAGTGATGGCTGAGGCTGCTGGCTTTACCTTAAATCATGTAACAAAGTAGGGATAAAAATGTTAATGATTAAGTGACTGAATAAACCAGTGATCAATACAGTGAATGGCACAGACAAATAAGAAACAAATACGTCAGTAGCTTTTGGATTTGGCCTGATTGATAGAAGGAGCCTCTGGGCATCTTCTGTATTAGAGAACATTTCAGGCCCCCTACAGGGTCAGAGAAGGCCAGTCCAGTCTGGATGGAGACCAAAGGAATGCGGTGGAGGTCATCTGGGGACTCACACGCCCTGGGGACACGGTGTTGCTCTGCCTGGGCCGGCCCAGCTGCCTCCTGGAGCCGGGCCCACGTTGAGCCCGTCCTGACGGGTGATGGTGCCGGTGATGTTTGCTGCTCAGGGACCCTCCTTGTGGGATGATTTCCCTTCTTTCTACAGGGCCAGGGCTGTGCTCCGTGTCCCAGGCACGTTTTCCCATCGGGGTCTTTCACAACACTGTCCAAGTCCCCTGTATAGGTTTTCCTTCAGTTAAATTTGTCAAGGGCCCCTTCCCAGGTGGTCTGCTGTGGTCTGTGGACAGTGGGCAGGGCTGGGTTAACCCAGTTAGAGGGAATTGCTGTAAGTGGTGGAGACCGTCGTGGTACTGATGTTGGACATAAATGAAAGCCGGAGGAGAGGCATTTCTGGAAATGCGGACCATCGGTTTTTTCTTTGTACAGGCTAGTCATTTAGGTATTGGACTCCAGGCCAGATACTGTAGAAGATTAAAATCAAAGACCGACGGACACACTTTCACCTTCAGAACTTTACAAATGAATAGAGGATGCCATACAATGTACAGAATATTATAATAAAGTCAATGTACAAGAACAATCATTCTCTGTCCAATGATTTGCTGATTCCTATAAATAGCCTCTCTTGCCCTTATGTTCCTCCAATTCACCTTTTCCTTCTCTACCTTTATCTGCTGGCACTTGGCCGCTCTGGGGGGCATTGCACAGAATAGCACCCACCCACTCTTTTTGTTTCTTGTGAAAAGCAAGAACCAGAAAAACAACAGCATTTTAGTCAATTCTTATCTGCAGAAAAACAATGGAGACCAAAAGGGTCGAGTGAGTCAGTCCCTGGTTGCTCCTGACAATTGAAATATTTCTTTTGTCATCAGAAAAAGAGAGGTCAGGACCACCTGGAGCTCAGTTAGAAACAGTGGGGTTACCCGAGGTCTGGGCCCAGGTCGTCCGGACAGGAGACGCGAGATGACCAGGTAGGGCTGGGGTCAGCAAAGGCTCCCAGGAAGATCGCGCCTTCTTACCTCTGCTCCTCTCTGTCCTGCATCTGACTTCTCTGGACCACTGTCTCCTCATTTGCGGCACGGCTGTAATATCTGCTAACCTCACCAAGTTGCTGTAAGGATAACGTGGATTAACTGTAGACATGAACTCCACGCACACAGCAGCGTGCTTAGTGGCTGCTCATGTCAGCGGAACTCAAGACCTTGGCTCACTGGGGAAAAGGTGAGGTCAGCAAGTACCCCTCACCCCATTGCACCGGAGAAGTGACTCAGTGAATTCCCCCACAACCCTCCTGGGACCCAAACAGCTTTTTCAGGCAACCACCCTTGCATGATGGCCATGATTTAATTTAATCCTCTTAACAACCCCAGGAGGAAGGGATTTCCTTCTTCTTAGACAGAGGGGAAACCAAAGCTCTGAAGAGTTGAGTACACCATGCCTGAGATCACATGGGAATCTGAACTCAGGTCTGTCTGACTCAAAGCACATTCATGTTTCACTGTACCCCACTGGCTCACCGCTCTGATGGATATGGAGATAAAACCTAGGCCTACACATCAAGTCCTCAGGACACCCAAGTAAGCCACAGAGGCGTGAGAGAGGAGATAATGGAATCTCTGGAGAGGTCGGCTTGCCTCAGGACTGTTTTGTGGAGACAGCTGAAGGACAATAAGAGGTGTGTGTCCACTAAGTGGACATCGCCACTAAATGGACATTTTCCTCTGCCTTTCCTTTTCCAGTATCTATGTACGATGACCACAAAGCCAAAGGTCCACAGGGTGCATTTTCTCGGCTTCACGCAGGTTTCCTGAAGCTGCCCAGTTACCCTCCAGCGGTGGTTTCAGGGCAACCGCTCCAGAGCTCAGCAGGGCCGGGGCCTGGGCAGGGGCAGGCAGGCCTCCTTCTGGCTCCCTGTCCCAGCGCGGTGCTGCCTCCTCCTTCTGGCCTGTTTTCTGATGCCCCCGAGGCCTTTTCGTGTAGAGAGAGTGGAAGGACAGCGTGGATGTGGCCAATCAAGCAACGGCGTCCTCTAATCAGGCCACGTGGGCAGCCCCTGGCCTAACCCAGCTGGCTCTGATCCTCTTTCTTGCCTGGGGATCATTCTGTTTTGTAACAGGAAAGCTGACCTCCGGCCAGGCCACTCTGTGCAGGTCCTTGCTTGACCTGAACGAGTACAGCAGCTCCCTTCCTGGGAGCGTTCTGTCTTGCTGGTAGGTCTCCAGAAGGGGGTGCTGTTGCTTCGCCAGGGGAGTCATCAAACGATGTCTCCACCAGCTTAGTAACCAAGGGTAGGCACCAGTGGATGAGTTTTTCTCAGGTGCAGAAGGATCCACATTTTCTAGAGATGTGTAAAAAACAACTTCATATAATTTATAAGAGAATGCCTTACGGTTGCTAAATAGAAGATCATTATACAAAAACCAATTTTTATTCTAATGACCAATCACCATTAGAAAGCAAAACTTTTTAAACTAACCATTTACGAGAGAAACGAAAGCTATAAGGTACCAGAAATAAACCTAATGGAATAAATGCCTGGTTTTAATGAAGAAAATTACAAAACTTCACTTATTTATGTATTCTTTAATAGATAAGGTGTACTCATAGTTACTGCCATTTTAATTCTTCCTAAATTTATCTATAAACTCAATATTCATAGATTATAAACTCCAATAAAATCCAGGCAGTGTTTTGTTTTTTTTTGTAACCCGACAAGGTGCTGCTAATTTTGTGAAAAAACAAAGAGCCAAAATAGTTATGAAATTCTGAAGAAAACAAGCTGATCGACCTGCTTTACAGGCAAGCTGGCGGGTACTTTTGACGTGATTTGTTTGGACTTCACTAACTTCTGAAGGAGACTAATTATGATTTTTATAAATCCTCCATAGATTAAAAACTGACAAACATTTTTTTAAATGTTTGTCCTCATTCTGAACAACTGTGAAGTTTCTAGAAGTTCGGTGATATTCTTAAATATCTGCCTTGGAAGTACAATTGTCTGCCAAGGCGGACAATTCCAAGGCAGATGAAATGTACCATTTGGAAGTCCAAACTGGCGAGGTGGGCGGGGAGAACAGGGCAAGAGGCCCGAGGGGCCCCCAGTGCGCACCCCTGCTGGGCGGCTGCCACGCTGCCCTGCCTTTGTCTCGCAGAAGGCCGACAGTCCAGCTGCTGCCCATGTGTGCTGTCCTGGAATTTCTCATTGTGTCGCAGGAATCCAGTTCTGGCCGGTGCTGAAATTACAGACGGCAGCGTCCAGCCTCGCCGATGGGACCCAAGAGGGGAAACCTCTCTTCTGGATCCTGGCTTTGGAAAACCTCCCAGGCCTCTCTGCCCGGACCTTGTCCCCACTTGCCTCCCTGGACTGTTTACCGGCTCCTCACTTCCCACAGGAAAGTGTCGCTCTGTGGACCTCGTCACCACACCCTTCCATTCAGTCAACAGTAGGTAACAAGCACTAAGAGGGAGCAAGACCTGGGCTAAGGCTGCACAAAAGCGGACCAGGTCAGGTCTGGCACTGGCGGTTTCAGTCAGAGGGACTGATGTTTTATTTTTAAAAATCTTATTCAGAAAGTATTTCTTGAGCCTTACAACGTTCTCGGGGGACAACATGGGACGAGATCCCTACCTTGTCCTCAAGGCACATGAAGCCCGGAGAAGACACATAGACAAGTGAGCAG